TGATTTCTAAAAAGCTCCTAGCGCCAAATCTAGAGACTTTTTTCTGCTACTGGAGACTTTGGAGACAACATCTAAAAGCAGCGAACTCTGCTCTCCAGAGCGAGTAGATTGGTAACCCCGCCTCCTGCTCTCCTCTATCTTGTCTGCTGTCATGATTCATGCAGCTATTATTTCATCCAAATGAAAAATGGAGAACAGATAAGCAGATCATGGCTTGTCTACAGTGAAAAGAAGGACTGGGTTATTTACTTTGGCCTTTTTGGAAACACAGGAAGGAGCAATCAGCTAAGTGAGCTTAGTGCTTGGAAAAAATCTTTCATTCCTTTAGAGACAGCATGAAAAGTCAGCTGAGTACAAAACATAGAGAGGAAAACAAGAAGAAAAGGGACAAGAAGAGAGGGACACAACCTAGAACAGATAATGGATGTCTATTCTATTAACATTTCTATATCTGGAGAATGGGGCTGTTTGATGGGTTGTCTTCTCAATTCAGAGGGCCCGTTGCCTGTTTTTGGATCGGTAATGCTGCAACGCTAACCTGAAGGTCTAGCAGCTTTAAAGTTCAGTAAAAGTTGGTTTTACAAAGCTGAAAACTAATGCCTGCCACAAACGTTCCAGGTTTCTATTAAACAATCATTTTATAATAATCCCATAACATCTCATAACATGCACTGAACTGATTGAGATGTGGAACAGGTTATTTAAAAACATTTTCCTGGTTCTGCAAGATCATTAGAAATGCCCTCAATGTCAGCAAAGAGACAGACATCTGCTGAAGCATCTGTTTATCTAAACAGCAGGTGGCGCTCCTGCAGACGTCCTGATTCTGTCCTCTAAGTTTAGGTTTGAGAACCTCTGGAACATAACGTGGGCTCATTTATAGTCGTCGGATCAATCGTCTTGTTTCCATCCTGCAGAAAAACCCGTCGCTCCAACATCTCTGCTCCCCCTTCTTCAAACAGCAGCAGCAGCAGCAGCAGCATCGCCATTTTACTGGCATGCAGAATGACTAATGCTGCTCTGCAGAGGAAACACTGAGTGCCTCTGCAGATCCATCAGCCCTCCCTGAACTGAAACGTCCCACAGCTCCAAGGCACACGAAGCAGGATCCTCTCCCTGCTTCTTCCTCTCCACTGAAAACATCAGAGCGAGCAAACGACGCGGCCTGATGAGGGACGGATAGCCAAAATAAAACAGATTCACTTTCATTTCTCTCTGGTTTTAGTCTGCAAAGAGTCTATTTTTGGCCCTGCTGAAAAGTGGCAGCGTTTGTGTTCTTATTAAGTCGTTTTCATTGTATTTGCTCTATTTTATGAAGCATCAAGTCAACCTTCCTAACATTACATTTATATAAACATAATGCAGTAAAGTCTACCTAATGTTAACACCTTATCAGTTTAAATAGCCCACTTGTTTTGAAGTGTAATTCTGGTATTTTCTTCCCCCGATTGGATCTGATCCTCCTGATTTATCTGAAAATGGGTCACTTGCCTCAGTAACCAATAAATCAGCAGATAAATCGTCTCCAGCAGTTCATCCGGGGGGGAAATTTGTGCGTTACTTTGATTCAGGCTCAAGGACAGCACAAAGACCGCGGCACAGGCGCTTAATGAGTTGGCTAATTAAATATGTTGTTACTGTGACCCCCCCCAAACCTCCATCCCCTGCGAGCAGCGGATTCAACCAATGCCTTTGGCGTTCTATGATAACGACTCCTATTGTGTTGTGGGTTCTCATTTCAAAGGCCTGCACATACAGCTAAGCCCAGATGTTTTATTTACATTCTACAAACGCATGCATTACCGCCTTTAACTCTCCAAGCAGACTGAATTTGCTGAATGCGAAGTATTTGTTTACCTTTTTTAATTTTTAGGTTAATATCAATTCCTTTAAAAATGCTTTCCTTCTGGTTCAGATCTCCAGACCAAACTGTTGGAACTGGGTCGGGTTTATGGACCCACATTGTTGAATGGAGTTCGGGTCTTTGTGATGACCTTTTTAAACCACTGACTTCTTTTCTTAAGCTGCTTGTTAGCTGAACCGCTATGCTAAGGGTCATTTGGAAGACAGGTGTGTCCAGACCTTCTTAGCTGATGTCCTGAGTTTTGCTTTAACTATTATTTATTTGTCATCATGTCATCTTTTTTTTTGAAGAAAATAGTTCCACACTCTGATTCTGCCACTACCGTACTTCAGAGCTGGGGTGGGGCGCTCAGTGGTTGTTTCCATTAAAACTGAATTTTGTTGTTTCTAAATTAACGGCTTCTTCCCCTCTAAGTGGCCTTTCAGTCCATGTCAGTAAACGAATATGTTAAAAGTTGTGCCTCTTTGGCTGTTTGGGCTTTTCCCCGAAGCTTCAAACTAAAGTTTTTCTCCCACTTATATTTAGCAGGTAGAAATAATGTTGGTGATCCTCACTGACCTAAAACATGTAAAGTTTAGTCTGATAAACGTGAGAACAAATAGTTTTCCTTTAACATCCTATTTAAACTGGTTTTTACGGAGCCCCTAAAGGGACATGGAGGGGAAAAAAAAGAACTTTTGCGAGATCCCGCAATACTTTTGCGAGATCCCGCAATAGTTTTGCAGGATTTCGCAATACTTTTGCGAAATCCCGCAATAGTTTTGCGAGATCCCACAATACTTTTGCGAGATCCCGCAATACTTTTGCGAGATCCCGCAATATTTTTGCAAGATCCCGCAATACTTTTGCGAGATCCTGCAATACTTTTGCGAGATCCCGCAATATTTTTGCGAGATCCCGCAATAGTTTTGCAGGATTTCGCAAAAGTATTGTGAAATCCTGCAAAACTATTGCGGACTATTGCAAAACTATTGAGGGATCTCGCAAAAGTATTGCGAAATCCTGCAAAACTATTGCGGGACTATTGCAAAAGTATTGCAGGATCTCGTAAAAGTTTATTTTTTCCCTCCATGTCCCTTTAGGAGCTCCGTAGGTTTCAGCTTTATTTGACCAAATAAATTGGTGATTTTTTCTGCTAGCGAGAACGATTAATTGCTGCAGCCTTGTGTCATCGACAAGATAGAAAATGGGTTTTTTTTTGGCCTGAAAATATGGAGCAAACTGTCCCTTCAGTGGCAGATATATGGGATCAGTGCATATTAATAACAGGAGACGTTAAGCTGCACGACGTAAGCTCTTAAAACAGGAGGCACTTCAGTCAATTCTATAACGAGACGGGCTTCAAGGCACTGAAAACAAATTTTTAGATATATACTTTACGAACTTTGTTCATTTTTATATACCTTTTCTTCTACTTAAAGAAAAATCAGCCTTCCCATGCACTGGTCTTCAAAGTTATTGGAAATACAGAAAGGAGGAAAATATTTCAGAGTAATTCTTTTTAAAGATTTCTTCTGTTTTAAGTACATCAGTTCCTTCTAACAGTTTCCTCCGTCATGCATTTTTCCACGGAAATACTTAACGTCATCTCTCCTCTGTTTCCCCCGTGCTCCATCAAAAACTGCAAGCAATTTTAATAGACGTCATGCATTGAGTATACGTAGCTATTTCATAGCTGTTTAGGCCATAATGCTGAACTATTTTGACATGCCGTGATCTCCGAAATAAGAAATGTTGCTGTTCTCCTTAAACATTCAAGACTGAAATGCTCCGAAACAACTTTGACGATAAACTGCCAGAGCACTTCTGGTGAAACAAACCATAATCCAGGAGAAGAGGATGAGAGCTGAAGAAGACGACAACAAAAAGAAAAAAGAAAATGAGGTAACGTTGTGTGCATGCTGATATAAAAGAGAAGAGTCTCCACATGCGTTTATATAAAGGAGCGTTGCATGGCATCAAACAGGGAACCTTCAGCTGACCTGCAGCAGCATTGATGCAGATCGTTCCTCCATAAGGCTCCACAAGCTTCCCTGTTTGCTTCTCTTAAAGTGCCTGAAAAATTCGCCATGTAAAGTTTTTCACGATTTTCCTGGATGTGCTGTAGGAAGTGCACACGTCTACGACTGTAATCCATCCATACTGTGGTTGTTCAAGGAAGAAGATGTTCTCTTGAATCTTAGATGGGCTTTCATCCACAAACTTGAGTCTGTTACTCGAAACCAGGCAGCTGTCCCCTTCATCAAAAATGAATCGCCCAGTTTTATTATCTTTTCCTCCCATTCAGTCCTTAACTTTTAGACTTAATACATAGAATAAGAGAGATAAAACACTTCTTATCATTAATATTTAAATATTACTTTCCTAAATGTTTCAATGTGTCTTTTTTAGTCAATATAAAGTGCTTTAATTTTTTCCCCACAAATGTTGTATTTGTGTTTTTCAGCCATTAAGAGCTGAAGCAGTTAAAATATTACAAATTGACATGTATCTTCTTTAAAAAAGATGGCAGTGAAATGTTGCAGTAAATAGCTTTAAACTGAAACTTAAGTTACAGCAGATCTTTGCACGTTATTTAAGAGGAACTCCATCAATTTAGTATTTCAGTAATTAGAGATAAAAATTGATTGATTCTTTAACACTGAGTTCACAAAGACTGAGATACGAATTTTGCAGTCAAGTTACAAGAAAACTACACGTCCCAGAGAGCTACTTGATCATTCTCATATATTTTAAAAACATGCACATATTTCTAATTTCATTTTTGTTTCATATGAATACATGTTTTTAAATGATGGCAGAGAACAGTATGGCTTTGTATTGGCAGTGTTGAGTTGATGTTATTTCTGCTAAGTGGTAGGGGGTTTATTCATTTTTATCCATACCTTTTTGTTTTACATTTTCTAAATTTTAAGAATTCATATTACAATGACGCAATTTCTTTCCTCACTATCGGTTTGATAGTTGCTGAGGTTTGTCTGATGATAAAAACAAGACCTCTTTTACCCTAAACATGCCTCTTCACCTCACCACTTAGCTAAATTTGTCTTAAACTGATAGTGTAGGCACATGCGAGGCAATAAACTTCATATATAAAATAAGTAACATATTTTTTAGATTTTTAAAAAATCTTCATTAGTTTGGGTCTGGAGTACAAAACAAGGAACCACTTTGCTCCTAAAGCTTATTTCAGGATCAGATATATTAAGTAACCCATTAAGTTTGATGTTATATATATATATAGCTCTTACCATTCATGGGATGATTTTGTAGAATGTATATTCATATGAATATCGTAAAATTTTGGAACTAGGTTGTAAAATGGCAGCTTGGCATACAAAAATAGGACCTACACCTGAAACAAGCCTTGAGACAAAAACAATTGCAGTGCAATCCCTTTAATTATAAGATACATCTGTTTGTTTCAATGAAAATAAGTTACAGTTTAGACTTGTAAATAGAGTAGTTAGGTTGTATTAGGAATATTTGTGTTATTTGGGGTCTTGTCCAGGATTAAAATTCATAATCATTTTACTCTCAGTGCTCTTGTCTGAGTCTCAATTGATTTTGGAGATAAAAATAAATAATATGTTGGACTAACATATTATTATAGACTAATACATTTCTTATTAAATCTGTCAATTCATGACTGTCCTGAAAAATCTGGTTGTTTAGTAACTAAAGGCTTGATTAAGATAAAGAATAGGACCTGTCACATGTAAGATGATCTAAATGATCTAAAAGGAAGAAAGTTGGATATCTGAAATTGGCAGTTGACACCCCACTAACTTTTTAAGCATAATTAAAAATTAAATGGAAGAATATTAAGACAGTGATCATATTAGTTATATTGAGTCTTTTCCAAAATGTGAAATCTAGTCTCTGGTTTAAATTTAATCAGTTAGTATAGATCAAGTAAAACAACCAATACAGTAAAAAAAAACCAAACCCAACCCCCCCCACAGCTATTGATATGAAAAGGCCTAGCTATAAAATTAAACTTGGGGGGGCTTCTGTAGAATACAAAATAGAATGTCAGTACCTGGTACAATGCCCACAGATAGAAAAGGGCATAAGGAATAAATTGGCAGCATAGAAGCCAGGTCATGACTTTTTTGGGGGTTTGTTTTGTGTGAATAAAATTGAGAGAAAGCACACCTCTGGAAGAGGACTCTTGAGCGCCACTTTTGAAATGTGTTGTCTAACGCCTTTTTTTTAAACAAATAATGTCACACAGTTTAAAGGCTTACAAAAAGAAGTATGTATTTATGTATCTAAATTAGTTTTATTAATTGGGTACTGTCTGGTGTACCTAGCAGTAATCTTATGTACCTAAAAGCTGCCCTTGAGCCAAACAAATCAAACATTTTAAATTGATGGAGTAACCCCTTTTTTTAAGATTAAATCTGAAAATTAATTTGCTAAAGTATATATATATATATATATAGTTTTTTAACCCTAGGACCCAGGTAAAATTATTGGGGACTTGTCCGGGATGGTGTCTTACATCTGAATCCTGTCCCTGGTCACACATAATTGAATTTGATATGCAAAATTGCCTGTGAAGGCCATGGTATATTTTTGGAATGAATACAAATTTAAAACACAAGTTTTTTGCCAAGATCTGCTCAGTTTTGCCTCATCATGAATGTATTAAAGTCTATTTTAAAAGAATAATGTTTAAAAAAAGATTAAAATGCACCTATAGTTAAAGCATCCAGAGATTTCTACAATATGTACAGCAGTGTGTCAGGTACTGTCTCACACGTCGGTGAGCAGCTTCCCCCTGTTAACACAGTTCTGGCTGGGGGCAGTGCAGTTGGCAGTCCTAAGGTTTGCTTCCCTAAAGTTATCAATGCTGTTGTTCAAGTCCTCATCTATCTCCATGTACTCCGACTTGCTGACAACAGAGGAAGTGCGGCGGCTTGAGTTGGTTTCTGATGCCAAGTTCTGGTTGCTGATGTTGAGCAGCTGTGCTTGCTCCTCCCCTTCCGTCTCCCGGTGGTAGAAGTAGTTGAAGTTGGACACAATGACTGGCACAGGCAGTGCAATGGTCAACACACCAGCAATGGCGCAAAGAGATCCAACAATTTTCCCTCCAATGGTCACAGGGTACATGTCCCCATAGCCAACGGTTGTCATCGACACCACAGCCCACCAAAAAGCATCTGGGATGCTGGTGAAGAACGACTCCTTTTCCTCAGCTTCAGCAAAGTAAACTGCACTGGAAAATAAAATCACACCAATGAAGAGGAAGAAAATGAGCAACCCCAGCTCCCTCATGCTTGCTTTGAGAGTTTGCCCCAGAATCTGGAGCCCTTTGGAGTGTCGGGAGAGTTTGAATATCCGGAATACCCTCACAAGACGAATCACCCTGAGAATGGCTAGAGAAGTGGCCTGTTCCCCTCCTCCCCTACCCTCCTTGTTCTCTTGGTCATCAGCTAGCTCTGTGCCAAGAGTGATAAAGTATGGGATTATAGCCACAATATCAATAGTGTTCATCATGTTCTTAAAGAATGCTGCTTTGCTGGGGCAAGCAAAGAAACGGACTATTAGTTCAAAGGAAAACCAGATGATGCAGAGCGTCTCCACCACAAAGAAAGGGTCTGTTAGAACGTTTGCCTTGTAATACATGGTGGTGTTGCCCACCTGGTGAATGCGGTCATTAGGGTCCTCCTTTAGCTCCGGTAAAGTCTCCAAGCAAAATATGACAATTGAAATAAGAATGACCATAACTGAGACGATGGCAATCCCCCTGGCTGGCCCAGAGCTCTCCGGATGCTCAAAGAGGAGCCAAATCTGCCGCTGGAACTCCTTTTCTGGCAAAGGCCGCTCTTCTTCCCGGATAAATCCCTCATCCTCCCTAAATTTCTCCATAGCTTCTGCACCGAGTTCGTAAAACTTTATCTCCTCTGAGAACATGTCCAGAGGGACGTTGACTGGCCTCCTCAGTCGTCCTCCGGACTGGTAATAGTACAAGATGGCGTCAAAGCTGGGACGGTTCCGGTCAAAGAAATACTCGTTTCTTAAGGGGTCAAAGTAGCGCATTCTTTTCTTGGGGTTCCCTAGCAGTGTTTCTGGGAACTGGGCAAGGGTCTTCAGCTGGGTCTCAAAACGCAGCCCAGAGATGTTAATAACGACCCGCTCACAACAGTCATGGTCATTGTGGTCGTCGTCGAGCGGGTAGGGGTCCTGTGGGTGACCCGGCAGGGTGGAGGTATCGTCCATGTTTTCTGTGGACACCACAGTCATCCTTCCTGTCGGGTGATGGGCAGGAAGGGGAAGCGGTGTGTAGGTGGTGGGGGCAGGTTGGAGTGGAGACGCTCCTACAGATGCCAGGAGATGCGCAGAGCCTCCCTCCCTATCACCATCATCATCCTCACCATTGCCATCATCTCTGAACTGAACGTTCCCTCAGCAGTGCCTCGTCTGACACCTGGAACAGAGAAAGAAATCAAGCCCAGTGTCCTCAGTAAAGACAAAAACTCACTCAGAGACATTTCTCAACATGAGCTTCCCCCCCAGAATGCAACGGCACCTCCAGAAACGTGTGCCGCAACAGCTTCATTTTACCGCATACATCAGCATTGAAGTTTGCAGCCCTGCTTCACTGCCTCTCTGCACCCACAGTTCTCACTCCTCCATCAGCTTCCCACTCAAACAAGCCTTTACACATCCACACAACACAGCAATGAAATCTCCTCTGAGTGACGGACATCAGGAATGAGACGTACCTGAGTTTGCAGATGGAACTGATCGTCCTCACCAGCCGCCCACCTCAACTTTGGCTTTAATACCAGCAGATATCTCTTTACAGTGTCTCTGAAATATTAATAGACTATGTTGTCTTGGTCAACATCCGTATCCTCTTGGTGTTAGTTTTCAGCGTCAGTCGGTGCAGCCTGCAGGAGAAGGAGGAGGAGGAAGAGGAGGTGGTTTCTGACGGCTGTGAATGCAGCAGCAGAAATCCAGACTGACTATTTCTTAAAATCATACTGGAAAATGAGGAGGAGGAGGAGGAGGAGGAGAAGGGAGAGGAGGAATAATACGCTTGAAGCTCACATTCTGATGGGAACGACTGGACTTTGCTGCATGAAGAAAAAAAAAACGTTTGGAAAAATCAGAGGAGGAGAGGAGGGAAAAGGAGGTAGAGGATCCCGCTGCGAAGACCAGATACGTGTCCGTTAATTTGGAAGCATATTGCAGAATTTCATGAGGAGAGGGAAGAGGAGTGAGTGAATCAGGGACGGAGAGAGCGAGAGAAAACAGGGAGAGGAGGGGGGGAGGATTCGACGCAATGCAGACACACTGTACAGCAGAGAGAGAGCTACAGTAGCGGCCGCATGTCAGCTGAAGCAGCCGCACGACTCCTGTCGGGGAAAGTTCTCCTGCCGGGAGCCCGGTGAGGAAAACGGAGCGCTTCTCTGCACTACGTGGTTTTCCTCAGACTGTCCAGATCTGACATGGAAAATTAACTGTCAACTGTGAATCATTGCTAACCCATGAGTCTTTCAGAACAGACTCTGCAGGTCTGCACAGGAGCAGATCTAAAAACAACAAAAAAACGTGTTCTGAAAATTAAATGATGTAACAGAGATAAACAGTATCCATTTTTATTTCTAATTTTTATATTGAAATAATCTAGGGAATATACTGGCTTTCTGCCCAGGCCTGATTTATTTTTTTCCATAGTTGCTTCTTTTGACTGACAGAAAAATAACACATAGAAATGCTTTAGATTTAGAACTAAAATATTCGTTCCCTTAATGGGAATGTAAAAAAACCATAATTTTTTTAGGTGGAAGAGCTTCAGATACCTGTCAACTCGCTGTCCACTAAATCTGATCCCAGGTCTACTCATCTTATCAAACATGCCTCAGCTATTTAAAGGTCTTATATTTTAAATCTGATTTAAAAAAACTATTTTTATTGGTAAAATAAGATAATTTAAACACATTTTATAGTATAGTATGTTGTAACATCTCACTTTAACAGCTGATGGTACATATGTCAGCCTGCTGCCAGCTTTATCCTATTTAAAATAAACTAATAAATGATTTAGAGTTGCCATTTGATGGATATGTTTAATCAGAAATCAGTATCATTTCATGAATAATGAAGAACTGATCCAAAAGGGAGAAATAATTTCACGTGTTTCTCTTTATTTTGCTCCAATTTTATCCAACTGTGGGATTTCTTAACTTCAGTAAAAATGGTTTAGGACGTGGAGCACCAGTCAGACGGGGTTCATTCTCATTAAATGGCATAAAATGGGGATCGAGGCTCTGCTAACCGTGAGCTGAGCAGCAGAATTAAAGGACCATTAAAAGCCAAGCAGTGGTAAATAAATCACAAGAGCTGTAAATGATGTGGTCGAAATTTTTCTGAAGTAAGAATATAAAAAAATCATTATATTAATAATACAATATAAAAAAATGAAAATGTTAGAACTGTAAATTTACATTCATATGTTTAATTTACTGTTTTTTTTATATATATTTTTACTATTTTTTACAAGGATGCACTTTAAAAAAGACGAAATTGTCCAGAGAGCTGTTCCAAACCAAATTTCATTTTGTTTTACACTTGTGTAAACAAAATGACAAATAAATGTGTCTAAGTTTAAGTAATAAAATATGAAAATAATTGAAAAATGGTGTCAAAAAAGGTTTAGCAAAAGCAACTATTGGTTGGAGGTTAGATGTGAAATATACGAGGTTAATGCTTAATGAGTTTTACATTAACCAACATAACACAACATTCTGCAAAGTCTCCTTTTATTTATCTCTCTTACAACGAACTACCATAAAAATATTAATAGCAAAACTCATTCAGACAAAGCCAAAAGTCCTCATTAAGTATGATATAAATATAAAAAAAAAATGTTTTTAATAATTGTGAATTGAAGCAAATTTTTTTTTTTTTACAAATGTTTTTCCACTTTTTTTCTTATAATTATTACAAATAATTTTCAGAAACAAACTTTTTGGTTTGATAACCATATAATTTATACCGAATCTGTAATACTAAAGCCAGGAAGTGAACTGAATGCATGTCTTATTGTTAGGAGAGTCTCAAGCAGCAACATGTTGGTGAACTCTTCTGAAATTTTTATCCTTGTTTTATTTTTTATTTATATTTTTTTACAGCATCCTGTCTGGCAATGTGGCAATAAGAATAATTGTCTTGATGCCTATTAGGGTTGTCACGATACTAAACTTTTCAACTCGATACCGATACTAAGGAAAATATTCGATACTCAATACCATTTTCGATACCACAAGGATAAAAACAAAGACTCCAAAATTCTACAGAAATATTTTCATTATTAAATAAAATACAATAAATAAATACAATAAACAATAAGAGCAATATTTTAAGGTTGTTTGCTGTGCACAATATTAAGCAAGCTTGATAAAAAAAACTTATAAAATTAAAATGAAGTGTTCCTTCCTTGGCTATGCTTTGCACACATAGCAATGACGCTAGCCAAACCGGTTAAGAAACAAAAATAATTCTCAGCAGCTGCACCTGTTACAGAAAAAAGTCTGAAACTGAAAAGTGCGTAGAATTATTCAATCACACAGTGTTCAGAAAGTGCATTTTCCTCTATTCTGCACTTTAGATGAATGACTGCTTAGGTGCCACTGGTGGTGGCACTGTATCGCTACTTTTAAAAACGAGTATTGTATCCGGATACAATGTTTCAGTATCGATACATTTTTGAGTATCGATACTTTTGACAACCCTAATGCCAATAAGAGCCCAACAGATTTTGCTTTCACAAGTGGAGCAGTACTGCTATCGCCATAGTGTTCTGCTTGTTTCATGCATATAAATTGCTTTATTATAATTATGCAGGGAGTTTTACAGATTATATGGACACTGCAATGTAAGTAGAACAAAAGAGGAAAAACAGGAAAAAAAGGAGAAAAGATGAAAGAAAGAGGAGATAAAAGCGGGATAATGAAAAAATACTTTTATCCATTTTCTGTTCCAGATGTTATTTCAATATTAGCTTGATCTCTCCCTATTGTTTCTTTTGACGCAATGGGAACAAATAAAAAAATGTGTCCCCTGGATACAGATATGCCAGCTGCAGGAGAAGTGACCGATAGTTCCGTCGTCGGCAAATAAAACTTTTATTTCTGATTGCACAATATTTAATAATGTAGCCTAATAAAATGGACCATTGCTTCCAGCTAACAACAATGTAATTATTTAGTGAGAAAGTAGGTCTGGATAACAGCTGACTGATTGCACAAGTCTCCTATGTTAGTCTCGAGCAGTCTTAAAATGTATTTGTAGCTGAGGGAAGATTTGAAATAGGAAACAGTTTAAGAACAGGCATTTACCTAGAAATGCATACGGGCCTACATTGCACGCACTTTACTAAAAAATGACAAATTGTGCACCCTGTTTTTGGGATGTATAAATTTGGTACACTAACTTCCCTCGGAACATTAGATCAAATGTTCAAAATTTCACTTGCAGCAGATGCTGTAGATGGAAAAATGTATTTTTTGCTGCTCGATGCGCCACATCAACCAATCAGAGAAGCTGATCTGGGAGCTGGCAGGGAGTCAGACACAGCACTGCTGATGCAGAGCGCTATGATCACTCCTCTGAAACCATTTATTAACGCCTAAATTAAAATGTCGAAACCTCGCGGCAGAATATATTTGCTTTTATTATCCTGGAGCCTGCAGTTTGGACTGTACCACATACCTGAAAAGCACTACATCTAATTTCAGCCGCCAAGAACAGAGGTGGAAAACCCTTAAGAGGTGACCTGGCCTGAGGTAACTGCTGCTGGGAATTCCATTGGCAGCGCACCGCCAGATCCATATTTGCCAATATGTTATGATTCATTTGCTATTTAAAGTAGCTGAAAGTGGAAAACAATCATTCTCAGTCTTGA